AAAATCCAGAAAATTGAAAGAGAAACTAAAAGAAAACCCTCAGAAAAGACAGACACATACTTAAAAGTAACAGCGTTATATATATATATATATATATATATATATATATATATATATGTATGTATATATTTTTGTAGGTTCCGGGTTGAAATCCGGTACCAATAAATAACAAACGTCAGGAATGAATAAATGAAAATAATGTATTAGGCAATAATACAAACTTCTAAAGCAAGTTAGTAGTTCCAGGAATACGGGTTAGTAGCAAAATATATATACAGTCTTTGGTATTGAAGTATCGCTCTGTGACTTCTTACTGAGTCTACGTGCTCGCTCACTGTGACTCCTACAACGCTGTTACCTCACCCTTCACTCTTCCGGTTACCTACAACCTTTTACTCTGTCACTCTGGACTCGACTCGACTCCTCTGTCTTGCTCTCGTCTCGCTCTTGCATTAGTATATGTATATACTGGGTGAGTTCATTTTTATTTAAAGGGGTGGACCCCACAAAAATATATATATATATATATATATGTGTGTGTGTGTGTGTGTGTGTGTGTGTGTGTGTGTGTGTAAATTTTTCATAATTAATAAATATATATTTTTTCCTCACCGGAGTTTCGTACACAACGCAATCTTCACCTGTTGAGGAGAGACCGACCGTTAAATAATTTAAATTTTAATAAAGATATATGGTTAACGCAACGTGGCGCAGTCCATATATTTTTCAGGGATTTCTGTTTAGTTTTTAAAATTCCATTTGAAATAGAATGGAATTTCTATTTTATATCTAAATAAACGTGAATTAATGTTGTTTTACACATTTTGTATTAAAATAAACGTGTATATAATTATAAAAAATACATATGCTCGACATAAGTAAATAGAAGAAAATTAAAAAAAGGAAAGGTTATAATCTTCAGAAGAAATTAATCTGGATCAAGAATTTCAACTGGTATTTATTTTTATGTCTACGTTTGTTCATCAATTCATTTCTCTTGTTTAATAAGTTCGGGTAATTTAAGTGTTTTTATAATTTTTCTACAAGGCATAAATTACACGTATTGCTTTATTCAGCGAAGGATTTGGTTTTAATTCTAAATTAGGCCGTGTAGAAAAATTTTAAAAACACTTAAATAATGTTAGACCAGCTGTTATTAACTTCACTGTTTAATAAATTAAAATAAATAAAAAAGAAATTACAGTAAGTCAATAAAAGAAAAACAGCGATAGCAACAAAAAAACGCTTACCCACCAAATAATGACGCTTATATTAATGCGAAGAAATATCGAGCAATGAAGACAGACGTCACCTCAAAGATTGCACAATCGAGGAACAGGGTACTGCAGTGCCTTTTCTCCGAAAGCCAACCGCAGTATGCAGGAAACGCCAAGAACCAACGAACGGTGTAAGTGTAGGTAGAACACCTTAAAGCGGAAAGAACAAGTTTAACGATTGAAAGACCACCTGGTCGCTCATCGGAAGAAATATTTTGTTACCATCCAAGAAATATACATTTTAATAAAATAAAACATGTAATTTTTAATATAGCATGTATTCCAGAAATATTGCTGCCCAAACACACAAATATAATTTGTTCTTTTCACCTGACCTTCCCTCGCTTAGCATGAAACACAGCCATTTGGATATGATTCACAGACTTCGGTGTGTCGGTTTGTTAATCTATCTATCTATCTATCTATCTATATATATATATACCACAGACACACACACACGCATATATATATATATATATATATATATATATATATATATATATACACACACACACACATATATATATATATATATATATATATATATATATATATATATATATATATATATTGTTATGGTCCGCTTCCTTTTACCACGGGGATAGTCCAAGGTAGAACCAATAAAGAAGAACTCGAACACGGATATGGAATAACACAGATATATTACAAACAGGAGTATATACAGAGAAGTAGAAAGTTTTAGTACGAACAATCAGGTTTAGTAGGGAGAACAATGTAGTCTCGACCATTATCACTATTCCATTGTCTTGTAATAAATGTCTGGACGCGACTCTGTTTCGGACTGACTCTGACTCGACTCTTGAATCGATTGACTGACTCGCTTCTGACGGACTTCTGACGGACCTCACTCCAGACTTCAGACTGAACAGTATTTAGTCACCCCCACCCCAAACATGAGGGCATCATGTGGCAAAAGGCTGGTTTAACGTGGGATAATCGAGCCCGTGTGCTCGGCCAAATGTATGAACCCGTATAAACGGGTTCAGGGTTGGTTTACCTCCCCGAAAGAGACTCCGCCCTTCGGCGTAGCCTCGTTCGGGTTCCTCCCCGCCCGAAGGCAGAGAGATCAACCGATCAGCCAGTCAGCCGGTCGTCCGACTTCATACTGAACGGTATTTAGTCACCCCCCACGAGGGCATCATGTGGCACAAGACCGGTTTAACGTGAGATCATCGAGCCCGTGGGCTCTGCCAAAAATATGCCCTTTGAACCCGTATAAATGGTTTCAGGGTCGATTTACCTCCACGAAAGAGAATCCGTCCTTCGGCGTAGTCACGTTCGGGTTCCTCCCTGCACGAAGGTAGAGAGTTCAAACGATCAGCCGGTCAGCCGTTCGCCCGACTTCAGGCTGAACTCTCTGTTACAGTACCAGCTATGAGCAAATAGTTAACACCCAAATTTGTGTAAGAATAAGTTTTAATACCAGAAATATGTTGTAATAAAAACATTATCGCAAGCAAAAAATTTTGGAGAAAAAATTATTATCAGCAATACTTAAAAAAAATATCAGCAATACTAAATGCTATATATTCTTTGGAAAAATATGGACAATTTCTTCAAGGAGAAATATTCCCAGTAATAGATTTTAAGAGAAAAAACATTACCAGCAATAAAAATTTTGTCGGCATTACATAACTCATTGAGGTTGATATGCCGTAAAACAAAACAAATTAATCCAATTAATTCATACTTTCTTCTGATTAGAGGGACGAACAATGGATATATTCAAATGTTTTTTATGTTACACATTCAACTGGAAATCCGAGAAATTCATGGTAAAAAGAAAACTGGATATTGAATACTGATAGTCAACCCATTTCATATGATGCTACCTAACATTCTTAAAACACATTGATTCCATAGCATTGTTCACTTTCCCGTTAAAGCTAAGCATCGTAATGATCTATGGATTTATGTGCATGAATCAGCTACTACTGATTTGCATACTAAATAAATTTACAAACAAAATTTTAAAGAACCTCCTTTTTTTTTATTTTTTGTTACAAAAACATTTCAATCGATTCTTTATACAAGCGAGTTCAGGTATATGACCTCGTATCCAGAACTTTCGCCAAAAACATTTTTGCCGTAGGAAAACTCGCCTCACGAATTTTCGCCATAGGAAACTTCGCCGTATAGGATTTTTGCCGTAAGACAATTTCGCCGCATTTTTTTTCGATATCCTTATCTTGAACGTCCCTTTTGGAGTAATGCTCAATTTAATATGCGAAGTACCTTGTTATTAAGTATATATGGAAGTTTTTTTACAGGGTAAAACATTATTCTTTGATCAGATATTTTATATTAATGTTGGTTGAGTATTCCGCTTGAAAGTGAGTTTGAAATAACATATATTGCTTACGTGGGAATTATTGGCAGACTGGCATGTTAACAGAAAGTTTAACAGTAAGTCTGAAATAGGAAATTGCGTGGCGAAGGCTCTGGTGTCAAGTTGAAATTTTGGCTCTCCTCATCGACGAGGATGAATGATGTAAGATTTTGATCCTATAACTTCGTTTATTAAAATGTTTAAATCGAAGTAGCAAAAGTGTGAGCCAGATATACTTGATAAAAAGGAAGTTCTCATACTTAAATTGGGCGAAATTGTCTTACGGCGAAAATCCTATGCGTCAAAGTATTCTGCGGCAAAAAAGTTTACGGCGAATGTTCTTGAACTATGTAACCTGCAATTAAAAATAAGGTTCTCTTTTCTCGCTTATCAAAATTGGAATAAACTTTTCTCCTTACCTCACTTTTGAAAACTTACCATCACTTTGTCTTATACCTCACTAGTCGAAATTTAAATAAATTCGTCCTTATAACTCACTTATGAAAACATCTTCACTTGGACTGAAACCTCACTGATTAAAATTTGAATAAAATTCTTCTTCCTCACTTGTGAAAACATATTATCTCTTGCTCTTATACCTCACTAGTCAAAATTTGTTCTTATACCGAATTTATCGAAATTTACATTCACTTCGTTTTATATCTCGGTACTCAAAATTTAAAAGAATTTGTCCATATTGCTCACTTCTGAAAACTTACATTTAATTGGTCTTATCCTGCACAAGGCATAATTTAAATCATCTTGTTCTTATACTTCACTTGTGAAAACATCTTCCCTTGGACTTATACCTCACTAGTCAAAATTTGAATAAACCTGTCCTCATACCTCACTCGCGAAAACTTAGTTATTATCTCAATAGTCAAAATTTGTCCTTATGACTCACCTGTCAAAACTTACCTTCAGTTATTTTTATACTTCACTAGTCAAAACTTGCTATATATCAAACAATTGTCTGGATAACAATATAAAGAAATTTTAAAATTTATGTTGCAAAAAAATAATCATAAAATAGAGAAATACAACATTTAAAAATAAGACACTTTATCGTTTTTCACCATTGTTTTATTCTTCCGTCTACAAATAATATCTTCTTTTTGCAGCAGTCGGCATTTCGCCTTCAATTATTCCAGTTTGAAGTTGTTATTAAGCCTATTCTTTTTTAAGTTAAAAAAGAAACAATAAAACCTTACACTTTTAATGCGGACATCTACAAATCGCGTATATATCTGTCTGGGTAAGTAATTATACGTCTTAATATACGTGTGAGCTGTGGCGTTTTACTGTTGTGTATATTCGCATTACTTTCATTAAATTTGTGTTTTTTGAGTATTTTTTCTTTTATCGAAAAAACATTAACTGAGGTGGAACAATTCATTTGTGAATGGATGAGCCTGTCAAAGATTTTGAAACGACAAGTTATTATGTACCAGACAAAGCACATTACTTTTTCTTCATTCTTTTCTTTCATTTTCCTTTTTTCGACATAATCCCCCCCTCCTTTTTTACCTGTTTCCTTCCATCATTTTCAAGCTAGAAATATGCCAACGAAATGAAGGTCTCATTCTTTCAAAGACATTTCAAACAATTTCTAGTAAGTTCTTTATACATCATTTTATTAAAATGGGAAACTAGTTTTGGAAAGTTTGACGTCATTCAAACAGAAAGTGTGTGTGTGTGTGTGTGTGTGTGTGTGTGTGTCTGTGTCTGTATGTGTGTGAGAGAGAGTGTGTTAAAAGAGAAAACATGATGGAATCGATATGGAAGAAGACAGAAAGAAAGAAAGAAAGAAAGAAAGAAAGAGGAAAGAGACGTGGAAAAAAAAAGAGAAAGTGGAAACAGACGTGAAAGAAAGAAAGAAAGAAAGAAAGAAAGAAAGAGGAAAGAGACGTGGAAAAAAAAAGAGAAAGTGGAAACAGACGAAAGAAAGAAAGAAAGAAAGAAAGAAGGACAGAAAGAAAGAAAAAAGAAAGAAAGAAAGAATAAGCAAAGAAAGAAAGGATAAAGGAAAATGACAGGCAGAAAGAAAGGAAAAAGAAAAGAAGATACAAAGAAAGAAGGAAAGAAAGAAAGAAAGAAGGACAGAAAGAAAGAAAAAGAAAGAAAGAAAGAATAAGCAAAGAAAGAAGGAAAAAGGAAAATGACAGACAGAAAGAAAGGAAAAAGGAAAATGACAGGCAGAAAGAAAGGAAAAAGAAAAGAAGATACAAAGAAAGAAAGAAAGAAAGAAAGACGAAAGAGATATGCAAGAAAGAAATAGACCAAGAAAATGGAAACACACATGCGAGAAATAAATGAAAAATTGGAAAAGTAATTTATGTATTGGTTCGTTTTGGATTTTAAATAAACTCTAGGACACTTCCTGAGCTTGCTGAAAAGTTCTAGACCGAAACACCGTACTCTAAAAATCGAAGCCTGAAGATTCTGAATGGAGCAAAACCACCAGTCTTAACTACTTTAAATGTAATATCATCTTATCTTAGTTGGTTAAGGCTAATCTCTTTGCATTGAACTTTGTCTCTAACTCCACGTTAGACGATAACTACCCGACATCTTACGACTCACAGAACACAAATATTGATATCTCTCTCTCAAAGCACAGGGCATTTCAACACTCATCAAAATCTTCGACTCCACGAAGGTCTACTCTCAGGATAAAATCCCACTGGTTGTTCTCATGAACGTCAAACCAGAGTTATCTCCACCTTGGCAAGGCTGTTTGGTCGCTACCAGAACAAGTGTTTCTCCCATCTAAGGATGGTTTCAGCAGTCTGCCCTGTTTTGAAAATGTGGTGGAGCTCTCAACGCCGTCTCAGTACTGAACCACCAGCCTTCTTTCGTGTTGTTGGGTGAGTCCGGATGATATTAGGCCTTGTTCTGTTTTTTTTTTTTTAATTTTTTATCTAGGTTTATGTCATCCTTCCACAAAACGAAGACATAAAAGAAAAAATTTGAACAGTTTTTCGTGGGTATGCAAAAAATATAAAATTTATTAAATTATTAATTTTTAATTAAACATACCTCTATCCCTTACAGCAAGTTCCTTCCCAGATCACGTTTTGTCATCCACTTGTCCGCCAGGTATGTCACTCGTTGTTTTCCCTTGGCTTTCTTTCTCTCTATTCTACCCGTGAGTATCAGATTCTCCAGGCCCTCCTACCTGTCCCAGAAACTTCAGCTGCCTCTTCCTGATATTTAGTATTAGCCTCCTCGTTATTATTCTGAGCTTAACAGGACCAACATTCTGAGCTTAGAATAAGACATACGATAATAATTCTGAGATTAATTTATCTTACATATCTCAAAGGACTTTGACAAGGTGTCTTATAGGGGATTTTTACCCGTACTCTACTGCTACGGAATCTCTTGGAAGAGCCCTTGCAATCATCAGCTCCTTTTAATCAGTTAGATACTTAAATGAGGTTGAACCCTATGGGATTAATACAGGATTCCCGAAAGGCTCGATTATCGGTCATGCCCTCATTCTGCTTCATATTACTGTTCTACCTAAAAACATTCACCGATCTATGGGATATCTTTTTTATGTGCCATGTTCTTTCAGGACGTAGGTGATCATGGTTCTCCACCTTCATCTATCCCTTGCAGCAAGTTCCTTCCCTCTGCTACCTCCCCAGATCACGTTCTGTCATCCACTTGTCCACCAGGTATGTCACTCATTGTTTTCCCTTGGCTTTCTTTCCCTCTATTCCACCCGTGAGTATCAGATTCTCCAGGCACTCTTTCCTCATTATATGTCCCAGAAACTTCAGCTGCCTCTTCCTGATATTTAGTATAAGCCTCCTCGTTTTTTTTTTTTTTTGCAACCTCTGTAAGATCTCATCTTTTCACACACGCTCGGTCCATGATATCCTTAGCATCCTTCTGTAGAATATCTATGCAGATAATAACAGAGTGTATGGATGCACCTCCAAAAATCTAGATGACTCTAACCTGATAGCCGATCATTCATTTAACGTGGCTCTAACTAACTAATGGCGAAAAAAAACTGGCTTGTAATTTTCAAGATTAAATACAAAAAGTTTATAAAATCTCGCTTGTCACGATGAATGTTTGCATTCTCAATAAGATTCTTTCTGTGTATCCTCCTCTGGAATTTGTTTTTAAGCATTTCAGCCCTAGCAAAGCGGGAAGCCACTATCCCGCAAGGGGTTACAGAAGATTTGGTGCGAGGGCAGAGAGGAATGATAGAGGAAAGGATGAGGAGGAGGATAGTGGATAGATCAAGGCAACTGGAGATGTCGAATTTGAATATTTGGAGATTATAGCTACGGAAGCAGGAAAATGGAAAAGAATTCCACCGGCGAGAGGTGCGAGATATGAAGGTATTAATGTAGAAGATGCGGCTACATTTAACAATTTCAGCAGTGAAATGGTGAGAGCGGGATGTCAGCCTTGTAGGACGCTTGAATTCGCGAAGTCTGAGAACCAGCGAAAGCAGCTCATCGGAGCAATTACCATGAAAATATTCGTAAAAAAGACAGAGAGAGGCAACGGCACGTCTGTAAGAGAGCAACTGCAGACGAGATGTTAGATCAGGGCCATTTATATGGCATATACGTCTCTTGATCTTACCAAGAACCCTGAGGCAAACAGAAAGGGCTCCAGACCATATATGGCAGCAATACTCCATACAAGGGCGAATGATTGATTAGTAGATTTGAAGGATCGATTCCTGGGAGAAAAAATTCCTGGCGTGACACAGGGAGCCAACTTTCCTTGGGGTAGACGAAGCAATTGATTCAATGTATTTTTTCCATCTTAGGTCAGTAGACAACATTAGACCGAGCAGCTGCAGAGAGGTGCTTTTGGAAAGTTGAGCGTCAGACATTCTAATGGGGAGCAGGGAAGGATCAAAAGTTCACCCTAGATCTCAAATTGGAAGCATGTATAGCAACCATTTCTAAAGCCACTGGAATATTTGTCGACACCTTATAGCGTTGGGGAAATATCTGAATCAACCAGCCATGCTTTATTTTAGAAAAACAAAAAAACAAAAAACAATCCATTATGACTGTCATAGCTGGGGTTTAACTGCAGAATCCTCTCTTTCCAGTTTTGTCAGAATATAAAAGCGTCTACTCGACCTTGTAGGCGATTAATTATTTTTCAGCCTACAACTCCCTCGCCAAAGGACTACTCTATAACGATTTCTATAGAAACAATAATTTTTCCACCAGTTCAGACATTTTCAACTAAGACCCACCGTTCTAAATACAAAGAGGCGAAACATCCTCATCGTCCTTCATCCGGGAAGTTTTATTAGGACATCTTCTTCCCAATAGGCACATGGGTAGGCTCCCGTGGGAATGCTTCCACGAATACTACAATCTTAACCTCTTCAATTTTAGAGTCAATCGGTAACTATCATGCGTATCCTCATAATTTCCCCCTTCTGCGTCCAGATGACAGACGCGTTTAGTAATCTCTAAATTGAGTGGCACTTGGGACTTATATCGAGGGAATAATTAGTAAACAAATGATGAGGATATTTTTAAATTCGTTCCTTGTTGAGCAGAGATAATTTCAGCAGCACCGCGGAAGGAGAGGAAGATAATTTTCATCGCTGAAAAGTCTAGATTGCGCCAGGGAAACTATTAAAATTAAATATGTTTAATTATCTAAAAACATCATTCACCCTTTTGCGTACATGCTAAATGATTTGGAATATTCAAATTGAATCTAAAACAAGCAAACATGCATATACATTGTATGGCGTATGAACTGCGCAAAAATGAAAATAACACTGACATTTCAATATAACATATATATTTACCAAAATTGCACAATTATATCTTGAAATACTAAAGAGTAAAATAATTCAATAAAATCGTCATTGGCTTCAACCAAAGCCTCCGGGTGACTTCAGAATCTCCTGCATCTCTTTTGGACGGTCTCCTTGTTTAAATTTGTGAATGCTGCCATAATTGCTGTCATAAGTTCATGTTTGGTGTTACAAAGAATTTTGCTGGTAGCTCGTTCAACTATGACCCACGCATAATAATCAAGGGGTTTGCAGTCTAGGAAGTTAGGTGGGCAGACGTAAGTGAGGATGACTGCCGTGACAGTGTTCTCCTGTTTGTGTGGCATGGGGCAGAGTCCTGTTGCCAGATATAGAGTCTTCCAACAGCTACCGTTTGATCCAGTGCAGCACTACCTCCTCAAGGCACATGATGTCATCCTCAGGGTTGAGTCTGAGACGCTCACTAACACATTCTGAAATTCTTTTCTAATCAGAACGATCGGAGTGGGTTTTCCGAGCTGCCGTGTCTTCTTAATCACCATTAGACTCATCCAACTTTTTCCGAATCCTCTGAACTGTACTTAGATCAACACCCAAACACTCTTAAATGTTCGTATTAGATCCGGAGCGAATGCCAAGTAGTACAGCATGCTGTTTCCAAATTTCTGGCGGAGTGAATTGCGTCATGTTGTACATTTTCTCACAGGCGGTGTCCAACTGACCCTGCTATATGTGCAATGTATAAAATCAAAGAACGCGCATGCGCGAAATTAAAAGTATAAATGACGACAATATACCCATCGCTACATATGTGCGTGTACGTGTGTGTGCGTTCGTGTGTGCGTGCGTGTGTGTGTGTGTGGCGTGTACAGTGTGTGTCAGAAATACTTCCCAGATTTTAAAGGTCGAAAATATGACCAATTTATTGCAATTTCACTGTAGTTTAAAGGAAGGACTACAAAATGACATCATCCAAATGGTGTGGCCAGTTCGCCATACACTGTTGGAGAAGATTTCTAAAGTTCTACATCACCTGGAATTTCGAGCTTTTACATCACCTGAAACTGTGGCAATGAAATTTCTAACACACAGCATTATCGATTTTATATTCGGAACAGCATCATGCCGACGCTTGAAATGTGTACGAAACGCTCTGCGTTGCAATTAAAAAATCACCAGTCTTAAAAAAAGTTCCAACAGCAAACGCATGGTATGAAATGGTTCGTGTGTGTGTGTGTGTGTGTGTGTGTGTGTGTGTGAGCTTTTGTTTGTATAAGAGTTTTAGAATTGCGTTTTAGAAAGTGATAGTATTGGATAAATTTAGGTTGGGTACGCGTGTGGGTTTAGTCCTAAGAGTTAGTATGGCTATGGGATTAGTATTTAATATGTAAAACATTGGATTAAACTATGCAATAAAGGTAGCAGCTCACCTCGTTATGGATTCCGGAAGTAGTAGATCAAAACTAAACCGGATGAAATTAAAAAAACAACACTATGTAGGAGAGGAGCGTGAAAAGCCTTGTTTTCATTGGCTAGCATTGACTGACAATAACAACGGTCGAAGTCCGGCCTCTCTCGGAATGTGATTTTCTTTCTTTTTTTTTTGCAATATCGCGGTGCGTAGCACGGCGCTTTTATGGAGGCGGCCTGACTCGTCTTGAATCAGGTCGGAGTTGCTGTTAGAGCCGATATGATGTAAAACCCGAAATCAGCGATGAGGACAGTGCATCACTGAAAACCACCTTTGAAGCATCTAAAATGTATTATTTAACTACACAATAAGCTCTGCGCGTTGCAATTAAAAATTCACCAGTCTTTAAAAAGTTTCAACAGCAAACGCACGTTTTGAAATGGTTCATGTCATAATTATAAGACATTAACAAGAGGTAGACACACTTGCCACCTGCCTATGTTCACTAAGCTCCATACAGGTGATAATTTTAGATTTGGGTGGTATTTCTTACTGCACCCTTCATAAGTCGTCATCCTGGTAGTAATATTTTAGCGATAGAAATATAAATATTTTTTTTTAATCAGTCACCAGCTATTTACGATGTTTTGATGAATGCCTGATAATTCTGAACAGAAGAAAATGATGGTTAGTAATTTCTATGCCATATCCTGATTTTTGAATGCTTAAATTAGTAACCAATCTGTGACTTCCATATTTTAAAATTGGTCGAAAGCTGTTTTAACGATAGAGGGAAACGTTTAGTAAATTCTAAGCCTAAAATATGAAATATTAGCGTTTTACTGCCATATTGCGTTGAAACACCGGTTTTCGTATGACAACCGAAGTTAAGTAAAGTCCAGCCTGGTCAGTACCTCGGTGGGTGACCTTTTGTGAATACTAGTTGTTGTAAGCACTGATAATGGTATAATTGACAAAGGCTTATCAAGAGAAATTTGTCAAAGGAGTTCCAATTCCAGTTAGGTTTGTTACATGCCATTTTGCACAAATGGGATTGGGAAAGACATGTTTCCACTTTTTCTGCTCTCAGCTATGGGTTAAATGTTAGGATATTTATTGAGAACTCGTTATTATCTCCAAGGGTCCATTAAAGTCTCAGAAACATGCTCTGGATTTAAATTACATGCAAAAGGTTGATAAGCCGTAAAAAACAAATCTGTCAATCAATCAATGAAATTATAACGTTGAACATGATCAGTATTTACCAAATAACAAGGAAAGAGTTCACTAAGGATCTTGTATTACTCTGATACAAGTATGATGAGGGAAGATGAAGACATTATATCTGCCATATGAAGAGAGAAATTAGTAATATAATACTGGTAGGAAGAATAACAAAGAACCATTATCCTGAAGAGACACGAAATATAAAAGAAAATATTCATTGTGCTTCCCAATAGATTATTTCCTGTTTAATTAAAGTTTCTATCATAATTGACAAGTTGCCATGATATATGCTGCGAATTCAAATCTCAACAAACCGGTTCTCGTCTGATCACCAACATGGGTGACGCTCTGGAATAAAAGGTGATGTAAGTTCAGATATGCAGGTAGTGAAATGGAAAACGGCTTGAAATAAACAAAAGGAAATTTCTAAACTAAATTATGGGGAGAAGTGCAAACAGGTAAGTGTACAAAGTATAGTTGCTTTTACTAGGGTAAATAGTTCAGTACAATAGATTTTCATGATTTTTTTTAGAAAAATTAAAAGTTTTATCATTTAACATAAAAATACTTCCGCTAATTAGTAATTAAAATAACAAACACTTATTTAATAAAAATACAATATTATTTTTTCATATCTTTTCTTTAAGTTTTATATTCAAGAATCCAATTTTTAGTTTGCCTTTTTGCGAGAACTATAAACAAATCAAAAGGCCGAATGCTCCAAAAAGTGGAATTTGGCCCCAGAAAGAATATTTACGCATTGGCCAATTGTATGTTGCATGCTCAAGGGTAAGAAATCCTAAGAATTAATTCATTGCTGTTAAAAAAAAGGATAAAAAGAGATTTCTTAAAAATTAATATTGTTGAATAGATCAGTACAATAAATTTTCATTATTTTTTTAGACATAAAAAATACTTCCGCTGTTTTAAGAACAATTTAGTAATTAAAATAGCAAACACTTATTTAATAAAAATGCAATATTAATTTTCATGTCTTTTCTTTAAGTTTTTATATACAAGAATCCAGTTTTTAGTTCGCCCTTTTGCGAGAACTATAAACAAGTCATAAGGCCGAATGCTTCAAAAAGGTGGAATTTGGCTCAAGAAAAAATATTTATGTATTGGCCAGTTCTATGTTGCATGCTCAAGGGTAAGATATCCTAAGAATTGAAATACATTACATTGCAAGTTTCTAAATCTCGATAACAATATTAGCAACCACTTCAACAATAGTAAATACTTGATGATTTCCACACACGTGAGCGTGTTACAAAAAAAAAGTTTTAAGTAAAATTAGTGCTCTATTCTCCAAAAGCTATTTGATCAATGAAGCTGAGAAAAAAAAAAATAGAAATTACATGATGTAAAAAAAATTAAAAACAACTAATAAGTATGCTAACACCAAAAGCCCTAATGAGCATATTTTCTATTTCACTTAGATTACTTTATATTCTATATGTGTCCTTCTATGCTTCCATAGTTTTAGCCCAAAGAAATGAACGTCCCATTTTCGATCACGCTAAATGTGCCTAATGCTGATCTGAAATCATCAGCTAGAGATTATACAATTAACACGTTTTAACGCTTATGAGCCGATGAGTTTCTCCTTTATACGCAGTTATTGGTAATGTACTTAGCCTATGACTTACTAGGTCTACAGGTTTCGATGACCCACAGTTATGACTGTGGTGAAAAGGATCCGTTTTTTAGCTTAACAGCAAACACCAAACCCAAACAAGTTATTTGGATTTCTGTTATGAAGCGGAGCTATTACCTATCACCGCAAAGATTCAACTAAGTTAAGATCAGGGCTTTGCCCAGGCCAATATTGTTGCGAGGTAATGTTTTAATTAAGCTGAGACATTTTCGATACACGCGATATAGGATTATGTTATCCGCTGTGTTGGAATATTTCCACTTCGTCTATATCTGGAAATAGGTGAGACTTTAAAAAAAAAAAAATATATCTTTCGTTTTACTGTATTCGTTGTACCTTGTACAGCGTGCAGGAAAACTGGTGCAACACATGAGTTACTAGATAGGGCGAAGAGATCCTGTTGAGTGGCCGCCAGAGTTCACATCATTTGATTTTTTTTCCAGTGGTTTATTTGAAAGCAGTTGTTTATGAGACGCACCCAAGAAATGTGGATGAACTTAAAGAAAGAATGAAATAAAATGACAGAGGAAACTCTCCGACATGTTAATGCAGACACAGAATTGTAATGTGTTTTGAAAAAAGAAGGAATACATTTTGAACAGGACATGTGCCATAATTTCCCATTTATAATACACACTTTTTTTCTAAAAAAAATAATAAGCAAAATTAGGGGTGCGTATTATGCACAGCTACAAAAAACTTAAAAAATTCCCGTTTCATAGGTAGATTTCTGTTTCGAAATTACTACTCACCACAAACATCTGACACTAAAATTCGGCGATTGCGACCCCATAAGGATGCCAAATACATTCATATGTTCCTAACAATACTTACAAATGTAAAATAAAATAAGAATTATCATAAATCTAAATTATAATAATATTATTCTATGTTTAAAATCATTTTTTAATAACAGTAGGATTCTCTGGCTTTAATGAAATTGGGGAGGTACAATTTATAGGGTTTGATTACCAAATAAGGGGTACGTATTATCCACGAGTAGAAGCATTTTTCCATATTTTCATCACAATTTTAAGGGTGCGTATTATAGATGAAGGTATATTATACATGAGAAATTACGGCAATGAAAATGAGTGAAGTAACATTGAAATGTACTCGTGAAAAATAATATAAAATAAAAGTTAATATGAAATTTTTCAAATTTACTGAAAATAACTTATTCGCAAATTTGAAAGATTTAGTTATAAATTAATAGAGAAAACTTGTCCATATTATTTGAAAAAATATGTTTGACAGAATTCTTGCTGCTGAAATATACCTTGTAACGGTTGATACGAGGATGTCGTCTACTATAATAAGCAACATCAGGGGTAAGTATTATGCATGGGTAGAAGCAATTTCCTACACTTTCAGCACAATTCTAGGGGTGCCTAGTATGGATGAAGACGTATTATACATGCGGAATTACGGTAACAATTAAATTACTAATAAATACAATTTCCATGTGTAATTATACTTTTAATAAATTATCCCTATAACGCGTGACTTTTGCCTCAGCCTATGTATTCATTCTTGTACCAATTTTTATTCGGACATATCCACTTGCATTAAAATACAGTTCTATTTTGATTTCGTCATTATACAGTAGCGGCCATAATATAAAGAACGGAAACAACAAAGACGTAAATATGTGTATTACTTAAAAAGTAATTCATGATTAGCAATGAAATTTTTACCGAATAAAGATTAGGGTGTACTGCATAAATATTATACAAAGTTACAAAAATTTACATAATAGTTTTTTTCTTTAAATAAAGATTAAATGGAACAAAGGAAATAAGCTACTGGACAAAAGTTAGGGAACGATGTTAATCTTTATTTATTAAAACAAAAAAAAACTGTTATGTAAATTTTTGTAACTTTGTATAATATTTATGCATTACACCCTAATCTTTATTCGGTAAAAATTTAATTGCTAATCATGCATTACTTTTTAAGTAATACACATATTTATGTCTTTGTTGTTTCCGTTCCTTGTATTATGGCCGTTACTGTATATCCTTTTTTTTCATTTCTGATTATTTCATAACAAATGATCTCTTTGCTCTGTTTTTGTCAATCGTCATTCGTTGGTTTGCTGCTGGCAGCAAAGCAGGCATTTTAATGAATTTCAGCTGGTGCCCTTCTTACTGCATAAATTGATACGTCAGTAGTAATATGTTTACAATGCTTGAGTAAGTTTACGTTGGATACTGATAATGTTTCTTCAGCTTTCTTTTGTCTGATTTGCAGCCAACATCTGTGTGCTACTTATGGATAACTTGTATATATGACTTGATATTCCAAGCTCAGCGGTTTCCCATGGAGTCATTGTTTGTGAAATGTTTATAATTTTTAACCTCTTTTTCAAACACATGGCTTACGGCCAGATCACGTTGAAACACTGGTTCCCGTATAATCACCGACGTTAAGTAACGTTGCAGATGTTTACTACCTCGATGGCTGACCGGTTAAGAAAACAAGGCGCTGTAAGCTTGGATGTGCGGGTGGTGTAATGGGTAGTGACTCGGAATTGTTAATCGAAGAGCCGAGTTCTAATTTCAGCTGGGTTTGTTATATCCTTTGGAAAAGGTATAAATACAACTCTAACCCCCGGCTATGGATTAATTAGTAAGACCTTATCGCTAAAACAATCATTATCTCGAAAAATAAAACGAGATAAAAATTTGCTTACAAAATGTTGTTGTTAAAGTACCCATAGAGGTTGATATGACGCTAAACAAAAAAAAAACAAAAACAAAAAAAACGAAATAAATTCCCCTCTTTCTGTTTTGAGAAGTAAATCAACTACAAACACACACACACACACAAACACGATCAAATGCACACACTCACACACAAACACGCACACACACACACACACACACGCGCGCGCACACACACACACACACACACGCGCGCACACACACACACACACACACACACGTACACAAGACAAGTCGAGGGTTCCAGAATAAAAACTAGGCTGATTATTAAGTATGAAATATTAGCATGCGTATTTTCAACGGGGATGAATTACATCTTGAGGTGTGTCAAGTATCTCCTATA